AAAAAAAAAAAAAAAAAATAGAAATTTTATTGTCTTATAATTTTAATTTTAAAACTAGAAAAATAATTTTTTTTTAAATTTTATTTCTGAAAAAAAATAAAAGAGTAAATAGAAAAGAGCGAAATTAGGATATATTTACATTATTATTGAAGCAAATATTTAAATAAAAAAAAATTCTAATCAAACGTATTTTTAATATAAATTTCTAATCAAAGATATTTTTAAATAAAAGACTGAAAAGTACAAATGAATGAATTAATAAAAATTAGTGATAATAAAAAAAGAAAACAGATTCTGGTAACATTTAAAAAATAAAATTTTCACGCAATCTTTATGGTAAATTCACCCATTCGCTCCATTTTCTTCTTTAATTGTGAATTATTATCTAGAAAACTCATATTACTGTTGTCAGAACTATTTTAATTCTACTTTCTGTAGAAAAGAAAATTTAAATTATTATAAAAATATTTTTTTATAATAATCGCAATACAAATTTTAATACCAAATTAATCTCTTTCTTCTTTGCACATATAGAATTATTTTATCTCTAAAAATAACATAATAATAATATTAAATTAATCACATCTCAATAGGTATTTATTAAATTCTCCTAGGTCAATGGATTAATAATTACTCATAATCTATGTTTTATCGATGAAAAGCGAAGCTTATTAATCGAATAAACAAGATCAACGATAATACGATGAATCGAAGCGTAAAATAATGATTCGTTCAGCTGATATGAAAAGTTTAATCATCTCAAAAATCAATATACATTCTAAAGTGAGTTTTTTTTCTTACCATTCTTGATTATTTTTTATATCTTTTAATAATTTTATCTTTTTTTCTTAGAAAGGAAAGTTAGAATTAGAAAAGGTTAGAAATTTATAATCTAATATTTTCAAAAAATTAATTTTTATCACCGAAGAAATAAAAACAAATAAAAATATAAAGAACAAGTATTTTTTACGAATATTAATAGCTTTAAGTTGGAAATTAAAAAATAATATTTGTAATATGTGTAATAAGTTTTAAAGTGAGGTTAGGTTTAGTAAGTAAGCTGCACTCAATGCAAAAGAAAATCGAACGGGGAAATATTACGCTGAAAAATAATCTTGTACAATATGCTGTGATGCAATTGCTGAAAGGATAAAGATGCAAGAAGCGATATATTACTTAATAAATTCTCGTATTACAAACAAAAATATTCTGAATCATCGAATGATAATTAAAACTTGCATCTTGATTTTTTGAAGTAATTTTAATAGAAATGATAAAACAATTTTATTGACATGTAAATATTTGTACACTATTATTTCTTATTTTAACAATATTACTTCTTCGAATTTATTATATTTATAATTCGAAATCTCTACTTCAATTTTTCGAATTTAATATCTCAATGCTTTATCATACTTTGTTCGTTTAATTTATGGAACGATTCTTGCAAATTTTTTTTCTTTTATTCCTTTCGTATATCAATTTCTGTTAATTACAAATTTGTAGAAAATTTCAACGAAATCGTAAAATTGTTCGTCTCGTTTCTTTGTATCATAGAATTTAAGGTTTCATCTACTTGTGCACGGCATCTCCTCTCCGCCATTAATTAATAAATATATACAAATTTTCTAGCACAAATATTTCATATTTCACAAGAAACAAATGAAACATAATTTTTTTCTAAGCATAGTCTACGAGAATGTAATAATTTTATTACAATTTTAATAATGATACGTTATAAATAAATAAATATTATTGTACAATTTTTGTGCTAGTCGTAAATATATGGAATAATTTATTTCCACGTGTAATTTTAAGCAATAAAAAAACAATGTTATCGAAATGCGTTTAATTTAACATGAACGTAATTTAATAGATACTATAATCATATTGTGAATCGAATCAGTCAGTATTATAAATGATTTCTCTCTATGTAAAGCTACAATATATTTGTCTTATAAAATGTTCCAAGATCGTTCGTTCTTTTCTTGCAAAATATTTTTATATTACCAACAAATTAAATTATACATTCATATATTCATAAAAAGTTTAATTTTATAATTTATAAAACGTCAAAAGAAAATTTTCAACTTTTTGAAATTTTTTTAACAAAATCCTTCTTTATTTCTCTTTTCCAAAACTTTAAAAGTTTCATCCGCAAATATATTCTTAAAATTCCAATTTTTATTTTATTTTCCCCTAACTTTCAAAATCTTTTCCTCTCGATCCATCTATTTAATTTCCTTCTCTCCAAATATATTTTTCTTCGAAATCTCGAATTCTTCACAAATCCATCACATCCCCATACCAAACCAATCCTCCATCGACCATCCATCTAAAAATCTCAATCCCTCGTCTTTAAAACCTTCACCCCAACCTCCTCCATAAAACATACCCACTGTTTTCGCCTCGATGTCGAATCTCCTTTCGAAAATCAGCGGAACCGTATTTATTCCCACTCGACTTTCTCGCCACGTTCACGAACACGATTCGTCTCTGTCCTCTGCGAGGTAATGAACTTACACTGAATATGATTTGCGAAAAGGTACGTAAGGTAATCCTTCGCAAGGAAACAGTCGCTTTAAAAATGTGCCAACCAAATTTTCTCGAATTTCGCAATCCGGATCTCGAATCCGGACAATCAGGCCAAAGGTGTGTCTATATAACGATGGTTAATCGAGATGAACTACAACCACGGATGCAACGGAATTAATCCCTGGAGAATTCTATCCTGTAGAGGCGGCCAGTGTGAATTTTACCTGCAATGGAATTTTCAATGGAAATATACGATGTAAAGTGTTAAAATTTACGGATATAACAGTGATTATTGTGAAATTTATTTGCTTTTTTTATCGCGCGAAAATTTGGCGTACTATCGTAGAAATGAATTATTGGCTTCTATTTTTTTTATCCTATAACTGATAGAAATGGAGATAACATATATAGCTTGAATGAAATTTTTCACAGAGATAGTTTTTTTAAAGAGAAAAGATTAATGTTTAATGTTCATCCAGTTAATGTTTAAAAATAATCTTAATGAAGGAATGTAATATATAAAATGTATAAAAATAAATATATGGAGAATGAATTCATTAAAAAGCTTGTGAATGAATGAATAAATTCATAAAGATATATTAATTATTCAAAATATCTATGTATTTATATATTTTTACATCTACGTATTTTTCTATATATATTTGTGAAAAATGAATGTATAAAATAATTTTGAAAAATGCATCCATTTCTTATACACTATGTCGATAACAATTGATGTAAAGTTTAGATAACTAAGAAGTAAGTTCTGAATTTAGTCTGTTACTGGATGATAAATGATCCTTTCTTATAGTCCAATAACATATTTAACACAAAGACATATTTAACAATAATTTATAAAATAAATTATTCACTGATAATTTCTAAAACATATAAAAATCTAAATATAAAACAATTATAATATAAAACAATTATATAAATTATATAAATTATATAAATTATATAAATATAAAACAATTATAAATATTTATAACTATTCTATAAAATTTGTTTTATTAATTAAACTATTATTTTTACTTTTAATCAAATAAAAATTTTTATTACATATGTAAATATTTAGAATTATACAATTTTGCAAATGTTAAAAATTATGTAATATATTTATATTATACAATTCATCGATTTTAATATAAAAGATAAAAAGATTTTGCACTTAAAAGATTAGGAATAAGAAAATTTATCTTGGAGAGACTTGGATATTAAAAATAGAAGAAACAGGTGAATCGATACGACTTTATTGTTTAACATAAATCCTTACGTGATTGTTTAATGCGCATGCTCATTCAGAGTGGCTTTACCGGAAAGCAGTTTCGATCGGCTGGGCCTCGTCGTATGATAAATAGGTCTTCCTGTTCTACAGCATCCTTCTTTTCCTTAAACATAAGATACATATAAATAGTAGCTATCTAGTTTGAAGATATCACAGGAAACGGAATTAAATTTGAGATGAACTTTGAAAGTGTTATTCTAGAAGAATCATTAAAGATAAAAATCAAGTTTTCATTTTTCTAAAATCTTTAAACTCCTAAAATCTCAAACTTAATGTATTTAATATACTTAAATTTAACATGTTAAATAAATTTTTTATCTTCTATTTTTTATTTTAATTTTTAATATATTTTAATTTATTTTTTTTTATTTTTATACATTTTAATTTTGTAGAAAATTCCATATATATATTTTACATATAACTATTTAGCACGTTATATATAGCTGTTACATAGTAAAGTTTACATTAAATCAGTATTCACAAATATCACTTATAGTTACGACAAAATTAAATGCAAATGGCGGAGAATTAAGAACGTAGTTCAGAACTTTTACGACAATAAATTCATTCTCGTGGAAAGATATAGCTGCAAGAATATAGTAGACTGTAGTGTCTTCCGAATCATTAAGATTCAACCCAAGAGAATACGAGTATGGAAACATAAAAGGTTATGAGCAACAACCTCGCTTATTTCAATAAATAAAATGCACATTTTACTTCAAATAAAGCAGCTACACATTCATCCAAAACATTTATTTAAAATCTATAATATTAATTAAAATTTTAAATAAAATATAAATTCTTCTATAAGTTTAATAAAATCCTATTGATATATTCTTCAATGATTAAAATACATATTTCACTCTTAATCTTTAGAAAATCACGAATAAAATTACGAAAAAGGAAAATATTATTAGAAAAATATTATTACAAGCAAGCAGAATCTCAGGAGTCAATGTGACGGAAAGAAATTGGCGCGAAGTCCAATTGACGCATGCGCAGAATCAGAGTGACTCCGTCGATAGTTTCGATCGTCCAGGGGTCGACATCGTCGTCCACCAAACAGCTTATCCTCGTGCTCTCGTGATGCTGCTGGTGCTTCTCCGTTTTCTAGCTCGTTCTTTCGTTTTGTGATAGAAAGAGTTCTATTTTCCGCGCGATCGCGATTCATAATAATCTAGTCGATCAAGAACGAGACGTGATTCACGATAATTCCATCGCGATAACGCGAAACAACGAATTAAAATACATCTGCGTTTCGCACGAGACACGTCTACAGATGAAAACGCACGAGATGCCCCCCAGACCAGTGGACTCGCTCGATTCGCACTCTATCGACGCGATTCAACGTGATAACTTATGCAGATTATTACCGACGATCTCGTAATCGAGGCAACCACGCGACTACAAACGACATTATCGTCGCGTGCCCACAATATTTTTTCGAAAAATCGGTCGATCGGTTTTGTTCAATGTCAGTAAATCAATTTAATGAAAATCACAGTGTATAAGCAGTGGAAGAATTTCTTAATCGATTACGGAAAAAATTACGGTGCGTGTTCAAGTGATCGTGCAAGTCATTGCAAGAAATAGGTTAATAGTGTGCCGCGCGAGCGAACGCGCATTTGAAGATTGAACAAAACAGGTGGATCGTTTCATCGAATGAAAAATGATCATTTGAATAGAGAAAGATCGATAAAAGATAATTTGGCAATGATGATGGATAAGACTCATCAAAAATTTCGTGCCGCGTATTATCGTGAGGCATTACATAACCGCTACACAACGATGAAAAATTATTTCGGGCAGTATATCGGCAAAGGGTCGATAAAAATGAGAGCCACGAATGCGGTTTCTTAAATAGCGCAATAGTTGAATCTCTCTGTGCCTGACAATAAATCAATGGTTTGCTGGGTATGCAATTAGATTAATTAAATTGTGGATATATATATAGTATTTTCAATTTGTTTCGTAGCTGAAATAAATAAATGAATATATATGCTACTAACACGATAAAAGTAACTAGGTGAAATATAGTATAAAATTTAAATTACGTTACGATTAATACGAAGTTAAATAACGAAGTTAATTGAGATCGATGTAAAACGATACATTGTTTTGTTAAATAAGTGAGATCGAAGTAGTAGAATATATTTTCTATCAGTGACAGTATTCATTTTAAAGTGATATATCGTGAAACATTGATTTGCTCAACTACTTTTACACGAGGCAATTAGTAAGAAGTTTCTTGTGGAACACCGATAATCATAGGGACAAAAACTGCGAGCGGCAGGAGGAGGCGAAGCCTCCCGCCGCAAAAACAATGTCGTAAGTATTGTCACATTATACTTAAAAATTAATAATTAATTTACGATAAATTTTCCCATATATTATTATACACGTAATAGTTGAATGATTAAAATATAAAATTTTATTTTAAAATTATAGAATTGAAATTAAGAAATAGTGATTTATTGAAGAAAGAAATAATTTAGTTTATTTTTAATTTAAAATAATCGCTTTAATATTTCATTCCATTTTGAAATGTTCATTTTTATTTTTTGAAATATGAAGATATTCCATAATTGAATAATTTAAATAGAAAAAAACAAAATAAATTTAATAACATTTTATAATCCATTGTTTTTGTTAATAACTTTTCAATCATGCAAATAATTAATTCAGCATTTCAAGATTAAAAATTTTTCAACAGGATTAAGTTAACAATTTTTTATCATTTTTCATAACTTAATCACTGATTGTAAGTTTCATAAAATTGATATCTTTATATGAGAATTTTGAAGAGTACGAAATTCAATAGCAAACGATTTCAAAATTGTACGATCGTACGGAACCAATCTACTACAATAAAGATGATGTTAGATATATTGAACATAAAAGGAATCGTTCTAAAGATATGAAAATTGATATAGAATGTATCGGATAGATGATATAGAATTTAAGTACTGACCGATTCATAAAAATTCTATTATAGTTATTATATATTAATCTATTATCTATAAAATTGAATTGAAATTATCTAAACTTATTTAAAATCTGATTAAAATGATTATATCATCTTAATATGTATCTAAATCTAATATATTTTATAAGATCATTATGAGATCCTAATACTTGAACATAAGGATACTTGAACATTAATAAATTAGATAATTCTCCAATTTATCTAAGAATTCTGATTCTGTCCAAAAGATTTAATCACACAACTATGCTCGGAATGACGAAATGCATAGTAATGCTGGAGTACCACAGGACTTTGGATTTTACTAAAGACTATTTCAAATTACATTCATAAGTTGAGAAACTAACCACAACATACCTTGAGGTTGTGCAACACCAACAAATATGATCTTTAAATCTTGAAATCCAATTTGGATCATCTTTGATCCTAGAACTTGGTTATTGAAAAGATTTTGAAATCATAGAAAACGTTCTGAAAAGATGTTGGAAGATCTTTTGGATTGACATTTTAATCCTAATTGTTGAATATTATTTTAATCCTAACTTTCCCAAACTTAGAATCATGAAATTCATTTTTTAAAAACTTTTTAATACTCGCATAATACTAATATTCGTACTCTTCAAAGTTTCTATTCTACTATTCGTACTTTACAATTAATGAACAGATTATATATATGTTTGTGAACACTTTTGTTTAGAATCTTCAATTGAAATATTCTTCCTAATATCATGTTGTTAACTAAGTTAGAGTAATTAATCTCTTAAAACTTAAAACTAATCCAGATGAGAATTATGATCTTGGGATATGTTTGTGAACATTTTTGTTTAGAATCTTCAATTGAAATATTCTTCCTAATATCATGTTGTTAACTAAATTAGAGTAGTTAATCTCTTAAAACTTAAAACTAATTCAGATGAGAATTATGATCTTGGGATAAAGAAAAATAAACTACAAAATTTGATGCACAAGAATATAATTGTGGAATCAAAATGAAAAGTTTTTTAAATATATTTTAAATTTTTCAAATTTTTATTTCAAATCCATAAAATTTTATTTAAATATTTAGTTTCAATATCGAAGAATTATAATATTTCATATTCTTTTGAATATCAAAAGCTAATATTATATAATTGATAGAATTAGAATAGTTGATCTTCTAGAATTTAAAATTAATTTAAATGGATTCATAGTCTCAAATTGCTGATGCTCAAATTATAAAATTTGAAAATATAACGAAATGGATATCATGGCTTTAAAATTGAAATGGAGGATCGTTTAGATTTTAAAACAATTTATAAAATTGCCTTTATAGTCCCTTATGGTCCCTTAGACCTTACATTAGGATAATCCGAAAAAGATCTGGAATTAGGAAGATCTTTTAGATCTTAAGAATAGTCTGAAACACGTTTCATGTTCTTCCATGCTCCTGGATCTTACATTAGATCTTAATTCGAAAAAGGTCCTGCTATTCCACGAGGATTATTATTCTGTTAAAATACAAGATATCTTTCGTTTTAGATTAATGTGATGGAACTTTTATATATAGAATCTTTTCAATTAAATTATTTTAAAAATATATTTCTAATAGATTTTTTGTTATTTTATTATTTTTGTAATTTTTATTTTTTCTAAATTTTATTAATTGCTGAATATATAAATGTAAAATGATTTAAAAATTAAATTTATTTTTGTGAATTAAATACAAATATATTCAACATTATAAATAAATATAGATATACAAAAAAAAATATTAATTCAGTTGTATATTGTTATATATTGTTAAAAAATAGTACATACATAATAAACTAAGATAATAGCAAAATCTCAGAGAAGTATAAATTAAAATCAAATTTTTGATTCATCAAATTGACCACTATTTTATTTATTTATTTTTTTTTAATTATCTTTAAATAAATTTTAGAAATTCTATTTAATAAATTTTTTTTATTTAAAATATTTGTTATTAAATATATTATAAATAGTAATTTTTATAATACTTTCAAAGATCTTTTATTTTAAGCAAAAATATGATCACTTTTAAACTTTTGAACAATAATATATATGAATCCATAAATTTTATATTCCGTGTATTACACTGCTTTTCACTGCAAAAATAATCATATCGAAAAAGTTTCAAAGTTTAAAATTATTTCTTGGAAAAGTGTCCCGAATCCGAGTTCTTTTCCATCGAATGTTTTAATGTATGCGTCGACTCTTATTGATCCAAATATAAAAGTATCAAGCTCTAAATGTCTTCTATTACATCGAATATAATATATTTTTTCTAAATCTTCTTGAATAAAATGTATATATCGAATTTTATAAAACTATAGTCTTCAACTTCATCTTAAATTATAATTTATGAAAATATTAATATAAAGAGATTCCAAGTTTATGAATACTACAGAAATATTATAATTGAAGACCTTTATTATTTTCAATCTTCACTGGCTTAAATTTGATTTTATTATCTTTACACGTTTTCAAATAGATTATTATAATACCATGTAGTTTTAGTTTTTTTTTTAAGTCTCATGCGCAGATTGTTTGTTTTCTAATTTGTAATGTAAGAAAGTTTAAATTATTATATTTTTTTATTATTAAATTTTATTGTTTTTAATTCCTCTTTTAAATATTTATAATTATTATAAGAAAAAATTATTAACTAATGAGAATGCATTATTATTAAGAATATTTATTAAGAATTATATAATTATATAATTTTATGAAGTTTTTCTTCTAATAATTTGTAATTATAACTTGTAATGTAATAATTTATTTTTTTTTCATAATGATTTCAATTTTAATTAAGATCAAAGATTCATAATTTATTTCATTATCAATAATATTCGAAATTAATGTAATTAATGTAAAATTAAACCTGAGATATAACGAAACATCTAAAGCAACAGAATAATTAATGCAAGGTAATTAGTTTAAATTAGTTAATTACACATATGCGTTTAATCTAACTATTTAATTACAATTAAATTTCGTTAATGCAACATTTATCTTGTTGAGTTCAATGAAATTTTTTGATTCATCGTTCACAGATTAAAATTACAATTACAATTTAACATTTTACTAATGAATATGAATTTTCTCGATTATTTCTATTAAAATTGATTTTTAACTCTTAATATAAAAATTCTTAAATAACTTTTAAAATAATAATAATTAATCCTATGTTAAGTAATTAATCCTAATTTAATATTTAATAACAAATTTAAAAATTTTTTCTTGAAATATACCTTATTATTTCTAGAATAAATTTTATTTAAAGCATTATTGGAAAAAATTGTGAATAAAAATAACGCTCTAAAAAATGTTAAAAATAATATAAAAATTTAGTTACTTGCGAAAAAAGCATGGAAGAGGATCGAGATTTCAATGGAATTTTATTCTACTTATAAACTTATATATGTATGTGTGTATATATACATATATATATGTAAATACGATATGCTGCACGTCAAAAAGCCTGCAACTCTGAAAGCAATCCTTTAAAACTTTAGAAAAATGTAGAAACTAGAAGTGACTTTATATATGCATGGTAAAGCGATATAAAATTATATTATTTTTTTGAAAAGGCATAAAAATCAAAATAAAATCAACGAACATGAAATATGAAAATAATTAATCTTGTAGAATATTTTTAAATTTTATTTCAATATCATTTATTATTTATTATATTATCTTTCAATCATGAATTCAATTTTCTGCAAACTTCAATTTAATTGCAAACTTTAAAAAAAAAAAAAAAAGAAAATACAATTCTTTAATCGTACTTCTCATAATTCTTTTACCGTAATTCCAATATTCGATTTTTTAACTTTTAAGAAAATTTTATGTAAAAATTATAAAAAAAATTTTCTATTTTTCGATGACAATAATCATAAATAATGAATAAAATCCTTAAACACCGATATTCTTTATAAAAAATATAGAATCGTCTAACAATCTGCCAATCTTTCAAACCTAACCTCAATTTTGCAATTGCAAATTTCATATATAAAAATTAAAAGAATTTTCATTTCTCGACTTTCCGATTACAATAATCCGATTACAATAATCCGATTACAAAATCTTGAAACACTTTATTTTCCATCTACAAATTTTATATAAGAAATAAAAAAAAAATATACAAATACTTAAAAACTACCTTTATAAAGAAATCTTATTCCTTCCTAATAATTCTACAATCTTACATCCAATTTTTTAATTACAAATTCCTCAGAAAAAAAAATAAATAAATAAATTAAAAAAAGGGGAAAAGAAAAAGTTCACCTTTTTGATTCTTTCGTTATAAAATAATCGTCTGGACGAATTGAAAGGCTGCGTATAGCACACGCGTCAATCAGCATCGGTGATCGCTCCTTGGCCGTAAGCTCGAGAGAGCAGCGATGCCAGTCGGGCTACGAGCTTCGACCGCGAAGCTCGCCCCTCCTCGCAGGTACGACAGTCTGTGTTCATGCCTCGACCCGTGGTAATCGCGCGTTCACCTCGATGGACCGCGGGAGAAGAGAGAACGACCTGCATTCTAAGCCGACTTTATATGGCAACAAACGCCTCCTTGGTAATCTGTTTTCTGGAAAAAAAAAGATAAATAAAGGATAATCTGTGAATTTTATTGCAATTTTTGTTATATTTGATTTTTATTGAATGCTTGTAGGTTATATTCGCATAGTATAAATATATCATGGAATAGATTTCATTAAATGATGGGGATTTTGAATATTTTGAAGAATAGTTTCGATTTGTTTTATAAATTAATTATGAGAATATAATTATTATGTGATAATATTTATTTTTGTTTCTGTTTTTTTTTTGTTTTTTTTTTTTTTTTAGAATTATTTTTTAGGTTAAGTTTTAATAATGATAATTGAAGAAATGGTTTTCATTCGAATTTTGAATTGCTAGCAAGCAAAATTGTTCCATTGTGATATTTAAAAATTAAATTTTGTTCAATAAACAATGATAATAGTGATACTTTGTAATTTTTTTTAAATGTTTTCATTTTTCAATTGATTTTTAACACTTTTATTTTATGTTGTTATTATTTTTTAATTAAGGATAATTTTCACCAAATTGATTGAAATTATTTACATTTCAATTACAAGTTCAACATTTTTTATTTTATTAAAATTTCATTATTATTGAAAATATTCATTAATGTTTTCTTCAGTAAATTTGATTTATTAATTTATCATTAAAATATTTGATTTAAGTTAATTTATCATTAAATATTTGTTTTGAAAAGAAATTTAATTAGTTACAGTTAACGAAATTTATATATTTATTCAGATAAATAAAATACTAGATTTAATCGTACATTGAAAATTTTCAAGTCAGTATTTTCAAATGTAAACATCAAGTTGTGTGAAACACGAATCTCTCCCTCGTTGATAATGAAGTAAAATGGAGGGAGAGCACATGGCGTACGAAATTTATTTAAAATTCAATTTTCCTGGAAAATTTCATATATGAAACGCGAACGTGCCCAAGAAGTGTGCAAATAACTTAGCGGTTTCGAAAATATAGAAGTTCGACGTGGAAAATTATATTACTTGTATTCAGATCAGCTATTTCTCCGATAAATATTATTTTTATTTATACATGACGATTAAATTTGCTTGTTCGATGAATTAATAATAATAATAAAAAAAAAAAAGAAAACAAAAAGAAAGAAAAAAGATAAAAGTAAAAATACCGATTTTAATCAAATAAATTTATATACGAGCGAATTAATGGAATTAATAAATATGTTTATGATATTAAAATATCGCTATGAATCTTGATTAAAAGCTTTTGTTGAATAATTGAAAAAATTAATTTTATTCTCTTCTGTTTTATTCTTTGAAAATTATTAAAAATTATTATTCTGATTGGATATTATATAATCGTGGATTTATTAATATTTTTTTTTCTTTTTGAAATATTTTAAATTTGATTGAAAGTTTGAAAATAATAAAGAATTAGAAATAAAAAATTATGTATTAACATTACATAACTTTTTATTAAAATTGATGGATCTGAGTTCAGAAAAATTCCAGTCTCGAAAAAATTATAATTTTATCGAGAAAATTCAACTAATTATGATTAATTACTATTTCAAACGAGCAAATATTTATAAATTATCTAATATTTTTGCATTTATCAAATTATTATTTATTATACTAAAATATTTTTAAAATCATCAAGGATATCATAAAATTCATAACCTAAAAAATTTCATTTATATTTTTTAAAAAATAAATTCACCAAGAATAGATTTTTCCACGAATAAACGAGAATTTTCTTTATTCCTTACGATATATTGAATTTTTCATTATAAACGTAGTTAAATATAAAAAATGCATAAACTGCATCAGTATTCAAAACAAATGCAATAATCGAAATAAAATTCCATTCGTTAATCATTAAATAAAAAAAAATCGACATAAAATTTGATAATAAAAAAAAAAAATGAAAAAGAAAAAATTTAATCGAACTCTTTTGTGGCAAAGAAACGAGTTTTGTGTAGACATCTAAACGAAACGAGTTTGAAAGGAAATTGTCCGTATCGTGCTCGAAGTTTAAACTTGGATAAAAATAAATTTAAATAATAATCTCTCATAAAAAAAAAATCGCTTTAGCGAATGGAAAAAACATACTTACTCGTTTAAATAATCGATTATCGTTCAATTGGCTATCGTTGTTTAATCAAAAGTCGTGAATATTTCTCATGAAGATAAAGTAAACGTCGATTATCTGCCATTTCAAACGAAAAATTAAACGTTCTGAATTGAGATGTGAAAGCAATATCGAGAAATATATGTATAATTGTATATGTTGCGTGCAACGACATCTATATGTGATAAATCTAATGAAGAGGAATCTATGTGAATGCAATTATTTGAAAATCGTTGTAATGGCGGTAAATTTGATTTTTAAAATATTGCATTACTAGTTATATTGTATTTTTTTTTTTAATAAAAAAGAAAAGAATATTTAAATTATTTAATTTATATAAATATAATTTTGAATATATATTTTCTCAAATTATAATAATTGTTAAAATAATATTAAAGATAAATTTAGAAAAATTTAATTTATGTTATATATATTTATTTACACAATTTATGTTTTATTTAGAATACTTTCTATAAAGTAGAGGGTGGTGTATATCAGTTTTCAAGGCAATCAATCTCAAATTTCTGGAGGCTTTAAATTGATATCTAAATTTAGACCACCGAAATCGCTTAGAAAAGCAATATCAAATTCAAGAGAAAATAGTAATTAATAAAAACTGTCTAATTTTCAATAATCAAAAATTAGAATTATATCAATAATAATGAATAATACTTAATTTTTATATTTTGTAATATAACATATGAATAGAATTTTAAAAAAATTATAACAAAGATTGAACTATGTTAAAAAATGATGTTAAAAATTTACTTCAAGTTGGCTTAGGTTATTTACATTACACGTATAAAAGATAAATAAATTATAAAAAAAAAAAAAAAGAAGATAAAAATTATTTTTGTAACATTGATAGTTCTTGTTAAAAATTTAGATAACTATTAATTGCTTAAAAAATTTATGGAATAAAGATATCCTGAACATCTTTGTTCCCTTTAAAATGAAACTTATTCCTACGAAGAAACTTTCGTAACGATAATAGAATTTTATCGCTCCGCTTATACAGATTATCATAGAACAGTGGATAATGCTTCGAGAGCAGCAAAAATATAATTATTTCGACATCAACGTGTTCCCGGAACTAGTATTGGTTAGAAATCTTTCGAAACTTTAAAAGCTGTCTTAAATCATTCTGTCACTTTTTTTTTAACAAAAATAATAATAATAATAATAATAACAATAATTAAAAATTGTCGCAGAAATTTATTCTCATTTCATATTTAAAAATTTAATTTCTCGAACGTTAAATTTCATCACCAGGGAATTATTATATATTTTCATAGAGATTTATTATTTCCATTTTTTTTTATATTCGCTTAAATCATATTTTTTAATTTTAATATTCCCCTCGAGTTAAAATAAATCGAAATTTCATTTTTAGAGAAAAACTTTTTTGTTACTTAAAAAAAAATAGAATTTTTTTCACTTTCAGATATTAGGTAAAAATTATGTAAATGGATAAAATCATTATATAATTTAATGAAAAATCTTGAATATTATAATAAGTGACCGACAAGATGAATTTACTATTCTGATCACCGATTAAACCTGATTTTAACATTCAAAAGGAGGAAAAAGGGGGAGAAGAATCTTTGTACGTCACACGTAAAAATATTCGTCTCATTCATGAATAATAAATTTCAACAGAAAAGTTCCAAGGTGGATGAAAAATAATCCAGAGTCGATTTCGATATCAGTGGAAAAATATCTAGCTTTTTATATTCACTTTTATCGAATTATCATACCCTCTCGTCGTCGAATTTTTATAACTTCATGAAATTGTTGATATATTGTAACATTAGAATGATAACTAGATTCGACAAATTTTCTTTTATTGCAAATTTTAATTTATCGCAATATTTTATTAAATAAATAATAAAATAATGATAAATAATGATAAATATGAGAAAATTTTAAATAATGATAAATATGAGAAAATTTATTTTTATAATGATAAATGTCAGAATTAAATTTTAGAATTAATATATGTAAAGGAGATAGAAAATATTGTGAACCATGTTTGAAGCTAATTATGAATTATAAATTACATATATTCATATTCATTTGCTTATTAATGAATTGCAATATTGTACTTTGTCAGTACATTATTTTATTAATAAATAATTTACTTGTAATTATTCTGCTCAATTATGGAGAAAAGCAAATATCTACATAATATAATTAATCGATATATAATATAATTTGAAGAAACAATTAAAAATTCATTTTGTCAATTTTTTTTATAATTACTTTGTAACATCTTTCTCCATAATTTGTTATTAAATTTTCAGGAAAATTTATCTAAAGAATTGATAATAAAAATCTTACTTATCGAAAGATATAATAAAGAATAATTTTATAAACAAAATTTCTATCTCGTATGTTAGATTTCGAAGATACATATTGTACAAATGGTTCATAGAACTCGATCTGGATTACTTGGAAAGGAGAGGAGGCGAGACAATAACTTGTGAAAACGCCGAAAGCGGATCGAAAGAGGAGGAAAGCCCCGCAGACACTCTGGATCGTGTCAAAGTTGTGTTTCTCGGTGCACCCAGGGTGGGAAAGTCCAGCATAATTAGGGTGAGCGCTAATTTCGTTTAATCAAATCAAAACACATCGATATTTCGAATTATATCGCGTATCTGAAATATTTCATATATTAACATAAAATTAATCATCTTAATTTTGAAAGCAATTCCGTTTCTAATTATAATTCGAATTTCTAATTATAATTTCACATCAATCGAAATTTTATCTTAAATTTAATTTTGATATATTTCATTACATTTTATTATAAATAAAAATAACAATTTGTCAATAAAAATTATTCATTAGAATTTTAAGTTATCTGAGAAATGCTGGGACTTCTTGACACATATATGTATATATATACAATTCATTCAAATTTTCATATTAGAATTTTACATTTAAAGGATACATGCACATATATACGTGTAATTTCTCCATTCGCTTCATTCCTCAAACGCACCTTCTCAATTAAAGCGTAATTTTCTTGAATACACGTCAAACGTTTGCCAGTTCAAACTTTCGGTTTGACAAGAAATTGTGAAAATGCACCTCGTCGTTGGATCATCATTCGTAGCCTCGACAAGGTTGGAACAAATGAAGTATATGTATATCTCGAGATCTACAGAGAAGGAGTAACGTAGCGTAAGTTAATAAGCAAGCACGCAACACGACTATTGTGTAATTAAACGAGGCGAATACTGCACATCCGTAAGATATTTATTGTGCCATCCCATTTAACAAACCTAACCTCTCCTCGCTAATGAAAATATTCGCTGATATTCGCTCAGCTACCTGTAATTTTCTGTAGCTGATTCTGACACTCTTTTTTTTCTTTTTTTTTTTTTTTTTTTTATTATGGTTTGCTAGTTTATGTGAAAATTGTTTTTTTACGTTGAAATACTTTTTCTTTTTTCTATATTATTTATATTAATTATAAGGTATACCACAATTGTGGTTATAGGATGATAATGATAAAGTTATTTTTATTTCATTATGGATTCTAGTAAATGCAATCAATAATGATTGATCATTGATAAGAAAAGTTATCTTTTATTATATTTGATTACAGATTTTTATAGGATTATACGTTTTATAACGGGATTATTATTAAGATTAACAAGAAATTATTTTGAAATATTTTAAATTAAAATAACACAAGTTAATACAATTCAAGATACAATTATTCTTCACTTTATTAAATTACTATGAATGAATTTATAATTGCTTTCGATTACTTATTAATGCATAAAAAATATTTATGAAATAATAAAAATAGAATAAAAAATTCTGACGATGTCGATGAAAGACTCTGAAAATAAGAAAGTGACACTTTGTTAACACTTTGCTCGGTTCAAGACGACGATCGATGTTCATGAAGGCTCACTAGGGATTGAAAAAAGTCACGCGTGACTACATTTTTTACGAATTCTCTAGACGATTTCGTTGATAGAATTTTAAAAAAATATAAGAAATTTTAAAATATAAAATAATAATAATATAAAAAAATTACAATATAAATTTAAGTTTAAGAAAATTAATTTAATTGTGAAAAATTATGAAGATCTAATCAAGAATAAAAAAAAATTCAAATAAACATCATTAAAATTGCAATAATTTTCCAATTTTAAAAATTAAAAAAATTTATAAAAAACTATGAGAGCTTAACAATATCGATAATTGAGCAATCAATAAAACTAGCAAGAGATTCACCATTTTAGTTCAATTGTCACGAACATCACTTTGCAAGATGTGGATGACTTCCGCTCATTTCCGGGACCAGTTTCCGGTTAACTGTCGCCTCTTGAGGAAATTGAAAGTCGTTGAAAAGAGGACACAAAATATTGTAGTGAAAAGTATATGTCAAAATTTTTAAAATTTCAATCTTTAAAATTTTTAACTAAATTTCAATCTTTTAAATTTTTCTCGATTAAATAAAAATTCTTCAAAATTATGGAAAATTATTTCTTTAAATAAATTCTAGTATAATCTTAAGATATTAATATATATGTATAAATATAAAATATATACACATTAAAAACTTTCAATTTCATGTATTTTAAATCAAATATTGATTAAAAAAAAAATTAATCGATAATTAAAGATTATATTATTTAAAATTTGCGTAAGGTAGAATTTATATACAGAATTTTTTTTCTCATAACAATTTCTATATATATATATCGATAATAATATATCGATTACTATAGCAATGCAACAGGCGAGAGATAGTGGAACAACATATAAATATTCACAACATTGCATTCCGGAAATATTGGAATTCTAAATCTTGCACACTTTGAAACAATAACTTCGTATATTCGCCTTTACTTCATAGTTTATAAATATTTTTATTATTCAATATAATTCAACATAATATAATTCAATTTTCAGAGTCTTATCTTTTTCTTATTACCATGAAACAGCACTTTAATTCTTCAACATCATAGGAAAGATCGTAATATACATACACAAAGATTTTATCATGTATGTATTATTTTTTTCAATACATTTTCTCAAATATTTTATATAAAATTGGAAAAAAAAATAATTTTTAGCATGATATATTATCTTGAAAAAACAAATCAATAATTCAATAATTATTTAAACCATACACATATTTAATGTATAAAAAATTTAAATAAAATTATATATAATCAAATGTCAAAATATTTTCGATGAATTTACGCTTCGAAAGAACTCGTTAATTACGCGAAAAACTTAAATCAGTCGAGTTAGCAGGAAGTCCTAGAATTCTCACCATTTATTTTCCGTTAACGAGAACGACAAATTCGAATCGTAAAGATACATTAGTGTTAGTGCTCATTTATGGGTTCCAGCAATTCGTGTGGAGCGAATTCAGCGAGGAATACAAGCCAACCGAACGTAGAGAGACTTTCTATCCGAGCGTGGTACTTGCCGATCGATTGTATGAACTAAAAATCACGGATCTACCAATGATCCCGTATTTTCCGGTCAGCTCGCACCTCGAATGGACGGACTTTCGTTATTACGGATTACGAAGTGCGAACGCTTACGTTCTCGTATTCGATCTGAGCAATCAGGACACGTTTCAGGTATGCATACATGTATAAAAATATATCATCAATTTACTATGGATGCGCGCCATCTAGTTACTACCTACCATCTAGTTATACCTACGCTGTATAGTATATTTTGGTAATTTAATTCTGATTGGTCGAAATAATTTTGATCGAATAATTTATTAGATTTTTTTTAATTTATGAAAAGTAATATATTAATTTATAAAAAGTATTATTCTTTAATTTATAAAAAATAATATTTTGTAAAATAGAAAGATCTGTAATTATAAAAATAGATATAACAAAGTTATAACATATAAATTTGATATATAACATTACTTTTTTATAGTGTAAACTTAATCTTAGCTTAAGATTATCTTATATCATAAATCACTATATCAGAAGAATAAGATTATCCCTTGTTCCTAACTCATACAAGACCGAGACTTTATTATCAGACAATCCCTTGATCGTAGATCTTATTTTCTCGATAACTTTTTGAATACCGATGATATCTCACGGAAAATTGAACAAAATGAAGCACTTAGAATTTTATGATTTTATGACTCATGTTTTTATCTAATTCTATAAATCTTTACATAATAATTAATCATTATTAACAGAATCTTAAGTATAAAAAGTCTAAAGTGTAAAATTTCGAAAAATTTCGAATGAATTTTTTTAATAATTTTAATTCGAGATAATAATATAAATGTAATACAATTATTTTATTTAAAATATTAAGTAATTAAATTTTGTTTTTTATATCGCTAACAATTTATTTGTTTTAATTGCAACTTTTTCACAAATATATTTTTTCTAGAGATTCCAAATAAATGTGTTTATGCTTAAGAATTCCCTTAAAAATTTTTCCACTCCAATTATTATTATCCCCATTTCATTATGGATCTTTCTTTATGCTCAATATAGGGATGAAAACTTTCTTTGTTCCATCTTTGTTGTGATTATCTTTCTTTTTTATACTTTCTTTCATTTCCCCATTCAATGAAAAATATGCACAGATTTAGAAAAAATTGATAAAGATTTCCCTTATAATATTTTTTTCAATTAATCATTGCATTTAACATTTTAATATACATGTATATAATATATATATTACTATGTGTAATTAATATTTTATATTATATTATATTATATTATTAAATATATTCATTATTCATTATATTCATCTATTATAAAATGTAATATTGTGTATACATAATAAATATGTATACATGTTTTCCATAATTTTCCATTATTTTTATGTCTGCCTTTTATCTACATTTCATCTATATTAAAACAATTTAATTTATAAATTTAATTTATTATATAATATTTAATTTATCGTAGCACATTAGAATGTTACGAGATCAAATCTACGAAGCACGAGACATGAGGGGCGTACCGTTATTGGTAGTTGGGAACAAACAAGACGAATTGTCGCCTGCGGCTGCTTCCGGAACTCGCTACAGGGACATCGTTAATCTCGTTCGAAAGCACTGGCGATGTGGCTACGTGGAATGTAGCGCCAGATTTAACTGCCGTGTTGTGCAAGTACGTACAATATCGTATTATTAATACGATGAGTGCCATGGGAATTATCGATGACGTTGGAATTAATTAAAATATTTAAATCGAATAAATAAATGCATTCGTGACATTTTTAATAATTTTAAAGATATATATATATAAATAAATTTTTATATTTTCAATATAAAAATATTTATTATTTTGTAAAATAAATATATTTTTGGAATTTCATTTTTTAAAAAAAAATTTAAATAAAAAAATATAAAGGAATTAACGTTCTTTTATGAACTAACTTTGTTAAATACTATCTTGTCACGAAAAATATTCTATATTATTATGAAAAACTATTTTCCAAAATTTTCTATTTTATAAAGCATACTTAAAACTAAAAAAAAGCATGATTAAAGTTTTATTTATTGTATATATTATTACAAAATAAAAGTATATAATGTAAAAAAATATATTTAATGAAAAATATAGTAAATATATATTCCTAATAGGTATTTCGTGAATTAATGAAGAGTATTCAAGCTGTGGAAGGACGACCACCTTCCCCCACGCCTGCACCTTCGCAACCCCTACGATCTCACTCGCATGACACCAGCGAAAAATGTATTCTTCTCTGACATTGAAGCCAGAAAATCAACGTGCTCGACTTTTGCGACCACATTATCAAAAGAAGTTGCTTCTATCCATACCATGATACAGGGTCGTAGATTTTTTGAGCCAGAAATGGAAAATGCGAAAGATCAACTTCATTGTGAACAATTATTTCCGATGTCATCTAACGGAATTGTAATATGAAATAAGAATATATGAATTTCTTCGGTTCATTAATCGATAATGCAGTAACTGATAATGAATGCAGTATTGTAATTAGTCAAAACATTGAAATTTTTCAACGAAAACATGAACAGTTTTTTATGAAAAAATTCTAAACGTTTTTATCATTTTTATAAATTTAATAACTATATAATAAGTACAAATTGAAACAAGCAATCAAAAGTTATTTTAGTAAGATGATTTTATTATTTTTCAATTAATTTTAACTTTATATTCTTCGTTATAATTAATTGATTATATTTTGCAAAAGATCTCTCAAAATTCATGAATCAGTATTATGAAAATAAGAACCTTTATCAGTATTATGAAAATAAGAATCTAGTTATGGAAAAAATATTGAATATACATATTTCGCAAATCGAAGAAGCTTCAGATCTTGTCTGTGAATATTATCACAAAACTGCTCATTGTGTAATTTTAACACTGAAAAATAATGCAATCATGTTATACAACTGCTCTTTTGAGAATGATGAAAATATTGCAAATACGTATGTATATACGTAATCGACTGCCGAATCTCTCTATGTGTAATTTAATTTCGACAATTTATTTTATAATTCACTTTGTAAATATATCGTGCAATTTTTATATTTTCTAAAAAATTAGCCATATTTTATATTACAAAAATTAATATATAAATGGATTTATCTCTTTTTTTCAAAATCTTTAATTTCTTTAAGGTATTATATCTCAATTTTCATTAGTTAAATATAAATTTTTGAAAAATGTTTAAAAATTATAAATTAAATTTTTTATTCAAAATACAATATATATATGAGAGATAAATTTATTTATCGATTAAAATCAATCATTTTACATAAATCTCGAAAAATTATATTTTTGAGAAAAATTTAAAAAATCTGTATACAAATGTGACAAATTTCATTCTATTTTTAACATTGCTTTATCTGTGATATTGTTTTATTATATTTTGTTGCTGTATTATTATATCTTTGAATATACAAAATAATTTTTTTATTTTACTTTTCAATAATGTATTCGGCCTAATAATAATAATATTAATATTATTAATAAAAAAATGATAATAGCAAACAAATAAATGTAATAATAGTATGTTATTGAGAGTTACCTCAGATCAAGCAATAGTGTATACAATATACATAATATATATTTTACTATACTGTTAAGGAATTAATCACTAGCCAGTAAGCGTAGCTGTTGATATTGTGAAATACTGTACCTATACATATGCAGATCTCTAAAAAAATGTATGTTAACCGTTGTTGTCATTTATACGCATTTTAACGCAAAATATTATTGGCTCAATAATTAAACGATTAATTAAGCGAAAACAGTTCTGAATAATAAAGTTTAACGATCGTTGAACGATCATTAAAATATTTTTTATGTTAATTATTAAAATCAAGAATATTGTGCCAACAATCAATTATTGTTATTTTATTTTCACATCAATTTATTATTTAGTACACGTGTAGACCACGCAGAATAAATATATTAAGTGTTAAATATATTGAATAGAACAACATATAAACTGTACATTACATACACATTACATACAAACATGTGTTCGTTGGAAAAAAAATCTTTGTATCGAAATAGCAAATCTAGACAAGGTACAAAAACTTCGACATGAATTTGTACAGTCATCGAAAATATATCAAATAAGCGTCATTTTACATACAAAATATCACATAATATTTTGTATGCAGAAGTAACGCAATAAAAAAAAAAAATAATCGAAAATTAAATCAAGTTTTATGAATTTTTTATTTAGCTTATTTCCTTATCACTCATTTCTAACTAAATATTTTCAATTCCTCTTATCTCAAACTATATTTAAAACAAATAATATTTCAAATTAATATAAAACTTCATGACATATACAGAAAAAACAAAAACAAAAGAAAATTTTCGATTAAATATTGCAACGAGAAATAGTACCATAATTCGACCTTCGTCTTCTCAATTTGAAACGAAGCCATGACTAAATTTTACATTTTGTGTTATAGAAATAATAAATTTTCATAAATCTACATAAATACGAGAAATAATGTGGTAGATCAATTTTTCAACAATTTTTTGTCATGGAAATAATTTACGTTTAAAGATTCTCGTAGAAAAGGAGTTTCGAAAAGATGTTTTGGATTTGGAGAGAATCGCAGTTCCTGAAAATGCAGATGATGTTTCTAAAGAATGTGAGGAATCGCAGCAACGTTAATTTTCATGGACAGCGACACGTATTGACGGTTGGAATCGATTTACCGATGTACGAGGTTATTCGCAGCCAATTTGCTTTTCAAAATTTTTATCGTTATTTATATCATCAATAATTATAAAAATATCTGAAATCGTTTTAAGAATTCTTTTCTATGTAATTTTTTTGTTTAATTTTAATAATTTATTTTTGTATAATTTATAATTTACGAATAAAATTAACGAATAAAATTGAAAAATTAATTATCATTATCATTGATAGAAAAGGAATTATATTTTTGCAAAGATATGAAAAAATAAAATAAATGTTAAGGTGAGTACAACAAGAGGCGTTCCTAGTACAAGCACAGACTTGAAGGAGGCTTTGTGTGAAAAGATTCCTATACATTATGATCTATTGAGAAATTTTCGTCAACAACATGGATCGTCAGTCATCAGCCAAGTAACCGTAGAAAATATTTATCAAGGATTAAATGGTGTGAATACTATTGTCAGAGAAACTTCTGAGACTGATTCAAAATATGGGGTAAATATTATATATTATTAAATATATACGTAAAAATCAGATATATTCTCAAATATATTTTATCTTTATTTAATGTAATTTTAATAAATTTTTCGATACCGTATAAAAATCTGGAATTTTTAATAATATATTTCACTTTTAAGAACGGATTGAAAATAAATAATTTTTGATTCTTGTATATAGATCAAATATAGAGGACTAACTATACCAGAAGTTATTACACTCTTACCTCGAGAAGGAAAGTCACCAAGTGCGGAAGCTGTGTTCTGGTTACTGTTAACTGGTGATGTTCCAACAAAAGAACAAACAGCATCGTTGATCGCTGATTGGTCGATACGCCGCCAGAAAAAGAAAAATTGGTGGTCAGGACCAGGTGGCGGAATTGTAGGTTCCGTTCTTCAAAATCTACCAAAAACAACGACACCTCTTGGAAAACTATCGATAGCACTCACCGTTTTTGAGTCTGGCAAATACATACAAGAAGCTTTAAAAAATGGCGCTTTAAGCTATACTCATTGGGAAGTGAGTTCTTAATCTGAAATTTAATAAATTAATAAATTCTCGAAATTGAAAAAAGAATATTTTAGTGTTAATAAAATTATGAAATTTTTATTACATTCTGATTATTAAAAATAGACAATTGCATAATTTTAGACAAGGATGAATAATTAATTTTGTAAAAAATATTTATTTTTATTTATTTGATAAGTAGAAAAAATAAAATAAGAAATCAAATTAAAATAAATTAAAATAATTAATTAAAATGGAAATTGGAATTTTTTTTTGAAGTACACGTATGAAGATAGTATGGAGCTATTAGCAACGCTACCAGCAATAGTCGGTTTAATTGCTAAAGGAGAATTAAAGAACTTGAAAGAAGATACTGGTGATTGGGTACAATTTCTATCAGAATGTTTATATAATACATTTGATATTTCGGAATATCAAAAAAATTCGTTGGTAGATTTTCTTCGACTATATATTGTTTTGAACGCGTAAGTAAATTATCCTTGCATAAAAAAAATTTTTAAATTAATAAATCAAAACTTTTTCCTTTTCAAATATTCAATTATATATTAAAAAAATTTATATCATAAGATATTGTTATAGAGACGAAAATGGTGGAGTTCCTAGTGTTCATATTACAGAAATACTTGGAGCTTCTCAATTGTATGTCAATCAAGCTCTTGCAGCAGGAGCCTTAGCATATACTGATGAACCTAAGAGTGGCACAATGTCAGAAGTAAATAAAATATTTTTTTATAATTTCAAATATTATTAAATAGCTTTTTACAATATATTAATGAAATAGTATATGGAATTCCATTCAAAAATACAACGACTTTTTGGCCATGAATCGAAAGAAGAAAAATTAAGGAATTATATAGCTACTTTGATTAAAAGGGAAAAATTAGCTGGTTATCAAGAAACAAAATTTTGTGACCCAAAATATACCGCATTGATAAATTATACGAGAGAACATTTGCCAAATGATCCCAATGTAAAGGTATTTATATATATCTTTATTATATTTTTATATATATATTTTTTTTTAATTAAAAAATATATAAATTATTATTTTCAAAAATTATATAATTAACTACAATTTTAATGAATTGTTAAATTAAACAATTATGTATAAAAGATAATACTTTTTTCAATAAACAAATTATTTGTTATTTTAGTTATCACAAACTCTCACTCAAATACTTACTATGATAATGAAAACAGCAAAAGGAAAAGATATTTATCCTGAACAAAATGCAATTGCTGCACCTATTTTTCAGGTATTTTATAATTTTTATTTTATATCATAATTGTAATTGATTTTATATATTTATTATATATTATTATATATTTTTGAATAGTTTTACGGATTAAAAGATATGAAATTCAATCAAGTATTATTGTGTATGTCGCGAGCGTTGGGTGCAATTGCATCGATTATTTGGACAAAAGCAGTTAATGCTCCGGTCGAGCATCCGGCATCTAAGTGTACTCATACTTATTCAAATTCTATTCATGGGATACGAGGAAAACATAAACGAGGAAATCATGTAAAGAGTACTCGAAAATAAATTTTATTGAATTCTATATTAAATCAATAATATTGTCAAGTATAGTATTATATATAATTTTGTGATATATTTTAATAATGTAAATTTTTTTTACTAAATTTTAATGAAATAAATAAAATATATTAATTTTAAAAACTAATACTACATATTGGTTATTTTTTCGTTTTAATTATTTATTCGTTTTAAATATCTATTTCAAATCTGAAAAAATTTTTATTTAATCATGTATTTATGTTTGAATTTTATTTTAATTTATAAAATTATCTGTTTATTATATTTTATACAGTAAAAAAATTTATAAATTATAATTTTAAACTTGACGCTTTGTTTTAAAGCTCTGTTGGTATGTTAGTTACGAATGTTTCTAAAGAAAATGGCGTAATTGAATATCTACATATATCAAAAATTATGAAAACTTTCGAAGTTTTCAATGAAAATACAATATTGTAAAAAGTAAAAAAGTTAATATTTCATAACAAGTTTTAATACTTAAATAAATATTAATTTGTGAAATGAATTTGATACAAAATTCTAGTATGACAGTTCCTTTCTGTGGTTATATGTTCTAATATTCAATCTTCAGTAACGAAAATGCCACTTCTTTTCATCTACCATTTGTCACATATTGTATTAATATTAATCACATAGTTATATAAAGAAATACTCATGATTTATCTTGACATTAATTGATGTTTTTTGTGACAAGCACAAGAATTAATTTTATACCGTACGTATATTTCGTGATAGATATTAATATCAATTTTTGTGTTTATCTTAATCTTAATATAAAGTATTTCAATTTTAGTATTAAATATGGAACATTCTAGAATATTTTCAAATAATATAGCTTCTACTATAGAAGAAATTAGGCCTTTTTTAGAACGTGTATGTATTAAAAAAATATATTTTTTTAATATTTTATAAATTTTTATTCTAATATAATAATAATATGTTTATTTTTATTTATATTTGCAGCAACCTGGCATTTCATTAAGTACATTATTAAATATTCAAAGAGTTCAAACTTCTATAGACACTGTATCTCCTACATCTGATAATTACATCATTGATGTTGAAGATCAATCAATAAATAGTACAAATTTGCAAGATGTTTCAGTTCACGACAATCATCATCAAACAACTGCAACAGACAATTTTTTAAATAATATTCGTGAGGCTGCAAATGAGGTTGTGAGTGAAAGCCAAAACAATAATAGTAATGTTATTAATCATAACAATAATAATGATATAGAAGAAAATTCAACAGAATCAGTACGAATTAGTCCACAAACACGTGCATTGTATCAAGGACTTAGAAAATATATTCTTTTTGTTTGCATTCTTCTTATCAAAGGCCTCTATGATTACAGGACTAGTATATTAAATTTTATAGTATTAGTTGTTACATTTAATTATACTAACAACGTTGTAAAACGTGAAATTGCAAAACAAAATAATAAAAGTTGGCTATCACTTTTAATTATTACATGTTATATTATTGGATGCATAGTTTTTATTTATTTTGAATATGATACACGTATATTTTCTCCATATTCACAACCTCTTACCATTTGGGAACTATTGTGGTCAGTTTTGATAACAGATTTTGTTTTAAAATTGATTACCATTATTCTTAAAGTTTTTTTAACATGTTTACCTTCAAAACTTTTGGCTCTTCGAAAAAGGGTGAGTTCTATTATACAATTGTTTAATAATATTAATTAATTAGAAAATTAAATGACAATTTTGTTTTAGGGTAAATATTTTCTTGTAGTAGAAGCAACATCTCAACTTTATCGATGTGTTGCACCTGTTCAACCATGGTTATATTATTTTTTTGAAAGTTATCAAGGTACAGAAAAAATATTTGGGGTATTACTTTCTCTATTGTATACAGTGAGCAAAGGAACTGATATACTATCCCGTCTAAAATTATTTCAAACTGCTATTTGGAAATTACTTCAAAATGTGGTATGTTTTACAATTTTTTAAAAATAAAAGAAATTTATAAAACTATTAATAATTAATTTTATTACAGAATTTAGGTGTATCGCCATCAAAAGAGCAATTAGTAGCTTCAGGTGGAATTTGCGCAATTTGTCATGATCAATATTCGATGCCTGTGAGATTACATTGCAAACATATTTTTTGCGAAACATGTGTTTTAACGTGGTTGAATCGAGAATGTTCATGCCCATTATGTCGAGCAGCAATCACCGACGATCCTATTTACCGAGATGGCCATACAAGTCACTTTATTCAGTTATATTGACTTTCATATATAATATATGAAATTGTATTTTTTCACTCCTAATTGTACTTGTAAGAATTTGTATTAAGCTTTTCATTTACATAAAGCAAACATTTTTTAAAAATTTTATAACAATGTTATCTTTATATGAATCATTTATCAGTTATTTTGATATCTGTAATAAAAATAATCTTCATATATTGATTACTTTAAAAAAATTATCGAGATTATATATAAATTTAACAAATGTAATATAACTTGTATATAAGAAATGATAGAGTTATTCTTTTTCTCAAATACGAGAATAAATTTTATATTTTAAAATGATTTACCAATTGTCAATTAACTGTTTATTTACGAAAATAATGTAACTGGCTTATTGAAATTGAATAGTTACAAATTTTCTTTATAAGTATTACTACATTACGTTTAGTGTTTTTATGATGTATTCAAAAGTGTGGTTTTTTTTACTTCATACATGACAATGAACACAAATAGTCATAATATGAAAAAAATATGACTATATGTCTTAGAATCTAAATTATGTTCGTTGTTGATTATAATTCAACATTTGGTCATTAACGTTCTAGATTAAACGTTACGTGCATGTAATATAATTAAAATCACACTGTAGACAAGTTTCATTAATGTACAACATATAAGTATTTTCTCTGAGACATTATAAAACATATTGTCATACAGGACTTTAACACTGACAATAAAGTAATTATTATATAAGGGTATTTTTTTAGCATACATAGAAAAATAGTTCATAAAACATTGGCTTTCAAGCGTGCTTGGAAGTATTCTCCATCCCCTTTAGTTGCTTGTTTATTTATCTCTTTATGACGTTCCCTACTCACTATCTCTTCTATGACCTCTCCATCACCTTTAATTAACCTATAAAAATGTTAAAATAAATATAAATTGTGTATGTACACATTACAAGTAATAAATTTATATTTTTTATATAGAAATACCTGTATCTCCCTGTTTCTTCATCATAAACTTTACGTATTACATTTTGCTTTTTTTCCCATTCCTCTTTTGTCATAGGTGCCATAGCCTTTGACTTTTCTGATACTTCTTGAGAAACATCTTTAGAAATACTTTCTTTGGATTTATCAGTATTTCGTAATTTTTTCTTAGACTTCTTCAATTTTTTCTTTAATTTTTTCTTCATTCTTTTCTTCTTCCTACGTTTTTTCATAGCTTTTTTTAATTTTTTAGCTTTTCTTCTTGCTTTTTTACGTTTTTTTTCATCTTCAGAAGTATCTGAACTGCTACTACTACAACTACTGCTAGTACTGCTACTGCTAGAACTACTGCTACTACTGTCACTACTAGTGCTGCTAACACTTGAGGTACTTGAAGAAGACAATGATCTTTTTCTTTTTAATTTTTTACGTGCAATATGATCAGTCTTTTCTTGGGTGTCTTCATTTTTTTTCTTCTCTTTTCCTTTCATATGCATGTCATCTATATCTTTTCTTTTTGAGTCTGCTTTGTCAGTACTAGTTTGTTTTACATATCTTTCTTTTGAATTACTTTCTCTTGACTGCTCACTAGAATCTTTTAAGTTTCTTTGATGATCATGATCCAAAGTGCTTCTACTTCTAGATCTATCATAAGGTGGTCTTCTACTATTATGATTTAAGAATCTATTACCTCTTCTTTCACTATTATACCTATTATATTGTGAATTGTTGTGTCTATTTCTATCATAAAATCCAGAATGTTTATAAGGTCGATAACCAAAGTTACGTTTACGATTATCCAAATATCCACTCCGTCCTTTGTAATATCCTCTACCTTCTCTTGGATTTGGTCGATATGGTCTAACACCATTCTCAAATCTTTTATCCCACTTGTCATTTCTTCTATCTCTATCATTTTGATGCTTAGTCTCACGGCTAGAGATACTTGAGGAACTGGAGCTACTAGAGCTACTTCTGTGCTTTGACTTTTTTCTTTTATCCTTACTACATGTATTACGCCTTTTTTTCTTTGAATCAGAATCATCACTTTGTGAGGTCACTGATTGCTTTCTTTCTCTTTCCTCTTTCGATTTAACGCATTGGTCTAATCGTAAATCACTTTTTTCTTTATTACTCATTGTAGCGTTTAACTAATATTCTAAATTAATTAAACCTGTATTAGACTTAAATATTATGTCTTTTAACATTTATTTACCGTTCAATCGCATCGATGATTAACCTTCTACATTTTAATCGAAAGTTTTTCACTAAAAAATATTCTGATACGGAATGATAGATAAGACTTACGTATAAATGAATACGTTAACATTAAAATACCACAAAATAGTTTTTAAATGCATACGAACTATCAATATTCTAGTGCATCCCGCGAGCACGTAACTAACCTCGATTTAACAAATTACAACAGTCCTCTTCATCGATTTCCATTTCAAAAATTTGTCGAGACTTAAGGCAATTTTTCATGATAATATAACTGTGCAATATTTAGGGTTTTTTTATTAGCATTGAACTGTTGGTAATAATTGATTAGAAAATCCGCTTGGTATATAAAAATTAAATTAATTTTAATTTTTAATTTCTTATCTATAATAATCCTTTTTTTTATTAACATTTATTCTTTAAAAATTCTTATTTTTTTAAAATTAATAATTATAATTATTTTTTTTAGAAAAAAATAAATATTTTAATTATTCATTATTATATTTTAAATTATATACAAATTGCATTCTACTTTCATATAGGCAATAAATATTCAATTGTTTTATTATTTCCTATCTTTTAATTAACAAAATTTTTGTTTACAAATTTTCATCAATATGATATTTATACATATATATTAAAATAAGAACACATTTATTTCTACTTTTTAAATTTTCTAGTATTATTTATAAAACTTAAATAATGAAACGACTAGGAGATAAATGTTATTGCAAAGACAAGGTAAATTGTTAACCTATTTTGAATAAGAAATTTTGCTATTATCTATTTTTTAAATAAATAAAGAAATATATCTTTTAAATCATTATTAATAATAAAATTACGTATGAAAGAAATTTAAACTAAATAAAATATCAAATCACTTTTATCATCAATGTTAGATGTCTTATTGATATCTAATATTGATGACATCATTATTATAATATTATTATATTTTTTCTTAAAATGTATATTTCTATTAAAAAAAAAAATTCTCATACAAATAATAAATATATAAATATAAAATCATTAATTTTATTATTACTATGTTGAAAAAATATTTATTTATGTTAAATTATCTAAACATAAAAAGAAATCAATAATTTAAAAACATAATTGCAATTACGACATAATATTTAATATCATCTTTGGACTTTGTTGCCTCTATATCAGTGTCTGATAATAATTATTACACTTTGGAAGTGTAAGATCCGTATTAAACAAGTGTTATTTGCTATGAAATTATTAAGACCAGAATGTCGAGTGATTGATACACGAAATTAAATATAACTCGTTCGAATGCCACTACGGTTACTGACCTTTCTAATTTTACTTTATAGCCTTGAAACCGATATATATTTCGTCTTTTTTCTTTTATTTTTTTTTTATGTAAATCATTAAATTAATATTATTTAATTAACAAACAGAATGATATATTTATTAAAAAAACAAGTTTCAAACATTTGGCTTGCATAATAACCACATTGAAAATAACTTTTTAGTATCTTTTTTAGATTTCTTAAAAATCTAAGAGATTAAGAATTCAAATCAATCATAATATCAATTTTAATTCAACTTGACTATTCTTCTATTACATTCTATCATTTTTCCATCAAATTTCATCGAATATTTTATATCTAAAGAATATTTATCAATCAGATATCATCGCCCATCACCAAATATACGGAGCTAGAGCCAGCACTCTGTCAGGAGTTAAAAAAAATTGTGGAGGCCGTCATAGTTCCAGGAAAAGGATTACTAGCTTGTGATGAGTCTCCTGCATCTTTACAAAAACGATTCGATGAGCTCGGTGTGGAAAATACCGAAACTAATCGGCGCAATTATCGACAAATGTTATTTTCAGCTGATAAGGTCATTATACTATAATTTGCAACTTTTATTTATCTGAAATTATTATAGACGATATACCGCGAATTATAGCGCTGATGAAATGAAAAAGGCCAACGCTTCTTAAGAAACTATCATTAATCTTCTTAAGAATCTTCAATGACTTGGATGAGTTGAAATCACGAATCATTGTCACAAACTGAAACTCTGACGCGCTCGTATTTGCATTTTTCTCATCGCAGTCTGAATTTTCAAAATGCATAAGTGGTGTTATTCTGCATCATGAGACAATTTATGAAAAAACGGCTGATGGTATCGACATGATCGAACTGTTACGTCAAAGGAATGTCATGCCCGGTATTAAGGTCGACAAGGGATTGGTCCCTCTTTTTGGCGCGAAAACCGAAAATACTACGGAAGGTCTGGACAATTTGCAAGAAAGATGCATTCAATATAAGAGAGACGGCTGCCATTTTGCCAAATGGAGATGCACATTCAGCATTACGGAGACCACGCCGTCTCAGTTGGCCATGGTTACGAATGCGGATGTCCTCGCAAGGTTTATAATTCATAAATTATCATTATATTCAGGGAAAAAATAGACAAATTTCAAGAATGCAAATTATTTTTTTCTTCTATAATCTCTTCTGAAGAAAATTCATAAAAAGTTGTTGAAATTGCAAGTTTCAAGAAGCTATTTTCTTTTTTTTTTTAAATGAATATTTAAGAAAATGAGATAAATTGCAATTATATTTTTTAAATTAGTAGGGATAAATTAAAGTACAAGAATGTAAAAACATTATGTAGTTCTTTAATTTACGTTCTCTCTAACCTAATCTAATCTATAAATTATGAATGTTACATAAATCATATATAAGATCAATATAATTTGCATCAGTTATGTTAAAGAGATTAAAAGATAGAGAGCTTTAAAAATAATATCAACTTTTATTTCTATTATTATTTTATTATTATTTCTATTATTACTTTTTTAGTATAGTTTATGTTCTAAACATTTTTTCAATATAAAGTGTACTCAAAAAGCTGACTAATTTAAAAATAATATCAATGATTATATTGTCAAACGAAAAATTTCCATCGTGCACTTTGAACTGTTTATTGCTTACATGTAAAAAGAAAGTATAAAATTTTATCACGTCACTGATAAAACTTTATAATTGTCAATTTTTAAATGATTCAATATAATCAAACTATTATACATAAATTACTCATTTATCCGTAACTCGATATATTTTTATTATATAATTTTGCAAACATGTTTTGTACAATCGAATTTATTTCAACAGGATAAATTTTAATTGCGTAATATGTAAAACTTTTACATTTGCTACAATAATATAATTGAACAATTAATTTTTATATAGATACGCCACTATATGTCAGAGTGCACGAATAGTACCCATAATAGAACCAGAAATATTAAGCCCCGGTGAACATGGAATAAATAAAGCGTTAGAAGTTCATGAAGAAGTGTTATCTATCGTAATGCGTGCTTTACAACAACATCGAGTTTACCTCGAAGGTATGATATTGAAATCAGCGATGGTTTTGCCAGGAAAGAAAGAAGAAATTAATTGTACACCACAGGTATAATGATTCAAATTTTATTCAAACAATTTTGTTTTTTTTCTTTTTTTCACTAAATTTCATAACTTAAAATCTTATTTTGCGAAATTATTAATTTAATTCGATATTATGTCTCAATAAAAAAGAAGATTTTTATAAAATATACAATATCTTTTCATCACAATTAAATTATTAAAAATTTACAGATTGTGGCTGAACATACAGTATTAGCTTTACAAAGAACAGTACCACCAGCAGTGCCAGCAGTCATATTTCTAAGTGGTGGTCAAACGGATGAAGATTCTGTAATAAATTTAAATGCTATTGCAAATTACGAAGGGAAAAAACCTTGGCAATTAACGTATTGTTATGGACGTGCCTTACAAGTATATTATATTCTAATTCATCGTCAAAATTATAAATGTTATTTTAATTTAATACACGTATAAAGATACAAAATTTATTTTAATTTTGTTTGTTTCAAAGAACGAAGTAATGAAGATTTGGAAAGGAAATGCTTCAAAGGTAGCTGAAGCCCAAGCCTTGCTTTTGAAAAAAGTACAACTTGCCTCTCAGGCTTCATTAGGACAATTAGAAATTGATAACAGCGTATGCACTAAGTAATCCTTTGGTTATTAACCATCTTACAAATACTCGATTAAAACATACCAATCATATATATATCTGTATAAATGAATATTGTAATCTGTATAACGAATGTTATGTAATACTCCAATTTTCAATTGCATTATGCAATTCAACGATATCAAATACATACGATTGTCTATTGATTCTCTCGAATATCTTCGATGCAATCGATTTCAACAAATTCATCAAGATCATTACCAAGTCATGATGAGATGATATCTTACATTATTATCAATGAATTTTATCACGTAAATGATAAAGAATATTTCAACGAATATTTTATCACAAGAATACGTCAACCTTTATAATGAAATGATGGTATGAGTAAATTCGACGAATGTCATACAAGGTGCCCTTGATTGACCTCTAAAGCAGGGATTCTCAATTGAAGGCTTCTGCGATAATACGTGAGAGTTAGGTCGTACGTTACTCGAAAATTTACCTCACTAGTGGTCGATACAGCGTCATTTCCATGGATCCCCACCAACCACGTTCTCTTATTCTTGTAAGCATTATAGACCGGATCATCAACACGTGTGCTCGACACTGTCGTAACTATAGAGCATTTATTCAATGCGACTTGATAAATTTATATTTGATTCATTATTTTGATTAAAAAAATATATAATGTAATATAAAAAATAAATATAAATATATTATACAAGGATATATAATATTTTAATTTATTTATTGAATGAATATTATGCGTATATATGCTTTAATTGAAATATTATATAAAATTAATATAATTTTATATAATATAAATTAATTGAAATATTATATAAAATTAATATAAATACAATATTTAATATAAATTTACTTTTTATTATTTAGTAATTTGTATTAATTTGTTATTATTGGAAGATATTACAAAATATAATGGAAGTATTTCACTATTTTAAGTTGAAACGTATTATCGTTAGTTGTTTGTAGAAATAATTTAATTTTAGACATCTATTGTATAAGTATTTGTCTAATTTTAAATATTACATGTATTTGTACAATCTATAGTAATAATATTCAGACATTTATCAAAAGAAATAAAAGAAATTTTCTGACATATAAAATACAAATTACATCAAATATAATTTTTCCTGCATATAATACGAAAAATAACATTTATAAAAGAAATATTTTTTATCAATGAATTATCCATGAAGTTTAATTCTATATTTACGTTATTTATATCGTTTATAAAAACGATCATTCAAATGAAAGTTGAGAATCGTTGCAATTATGTGAGAGAGTGCGCTTGCGCCACTTATTCTGTATCAGACTTTGAAACCAATGAATAGCCTAGTCTTACCTCAGTCACTTTCCAACCAGCAAATTGTACGATTTACGTGTACGCGTTTTGAGTTAGAAATCATCTCATCGATATAAAGTAAGTTATGTTTATGCATGTTTTTGAATAAATAATTTAAGTTGAAAATTGAAATAAAAAGTACCACGCATTTTTATTGAATTTCATTTATTATTTCATGCCGGGAAATTAATGTGAAAACTGATGTTTGACCTACAATGGGATTCGACCTTGACTGACATTTGGTCGACACCCAGTGTATCTCAAAATAATATCATTTTATATAATTACAATATTTTATATTTCATATTCAAGTTTCTAAAAAGTTGCATTTCGCTATCATAAATTTATAAACATTCACATATATATCAAGTTTAAGCTATATATATATATATATTTTCACATTTGATATTTGTACATATATATACATACACATATATTGTTTTATAAGTTCAAATGAGATTTATAATTTGTTATTATTACATTAAATAATGTTATTTAATGATATTTAAATGAAAACTATATATTTCTAATTATATTTTTATTATTTTTTATTAAATATTATTTATATAAAAAAATTATCTTAGTTTTAATCTTTAAGTATATTAATCTAATATTATTTAAAACATGAATTATCAGAAATAAATAAATGAATATTGGAAAAAGCTATTTTCATTTAATTATAATTGTATTGCGTAATTTTTAAGTATAATAAGAATAAAATAAGTCTCGTAAAGAATACTTTAAGATGCACATATTTTGTATTCAATAATGATAAAAATATATGTATTTTAAAATTTGAAACTTTAACAATATTAAATTTACATATAAAAATATTTTATGTAATAGTATTATTAATGAATAACTAAAATTTAAACTTCAATTAAGTTTTTTCATGTTAAATTATCAATATAACCTCTAAACCGATAATATATATCTATCATAAGAATAGAAGTATTTATTTCTTTTCAATTATTGTTATTTTGTTATATAATATAATAAATAGAAAAAATATTGGAATTTAAAAATTCTTTTATTTACATAAAATTCTTCATTATAATTATATTCACATATAATTTATATGTTGTATATCTATATAGTTTTTCATAGTTTTAAGTTAGTATATTTATTTGTTCTAAGTCTTTACATTCAAATTACGTCTAACTTTGTATGATAGTTTTTTGATATCTATTTCTGTTATTTCCAATGACAATCTAATTTGGTCGTTTCATTGAATAGAATTAATAATTATGATCAATGATATTCATAGATTAGATAGAATTAGATTAGTTGTTTACACGCATTGTTTAATTATGATGAAAACTTATGCAATCCGGCAATCTATATTGTACTGTATAATTCCTAGAAAGATTTTGATAGATAAAATATTATATATGAAATAAAAAATTAGTAATAGTGACACGTGAACTGTGGCTCGAAATGTACGTGCATCTACTGTGCACGTACATGAATACAATAATTATACTATTATACACGTGTTAGTTTTTTTTTACGAGCGTTTCATCATACATTCTTTCGTCCCATAAATACGAATAATGTTTTGGCAAATAACCAATTTGATCGTATGATTTTATACACATGTTTAGCACCTTTCCGTATCGAGTTTTGTTTATTCGCATATTCAAATCTACTAATTGTAAGATGTTATAGATATTCTTTTTCTATTGTGAAATATTCGATTGAATTATTATATTAAAAAAAATAAATAAATTTAATTCTATATATATTATATTTTTATAAATATTTTAAGATTGATTATGATTCACATTTAATATTTTTTAAAAAATTAATTAAATAATTTTTCACTATTTACAATTAAATTTTCATATATATTTATGAGAAATATTTTTCTAGAAGTCGATGATAAATTATTATTTCATATTAACATTATTATTTTTAAAATAACTATTGAATTAAAAAATTATCAATATAATCTATTTTGTTGAATTTATTAAGTATATATATATATATAACTTCACACATAATTGCACACTTGTATACAAATGTAACATTAAATAAATCATTCAGACATGTATAATAATCATTGTATTAATAATTTGTAATTTATTATAAATTTAAATATATATAACAAAATATATTAAACGTAATATTAACTTTCATAATTGTTATTTTATTCTATTAACACACAATGAATTATTTCAACATTATTTTTTTTTAATTTTTGCTTTTGACTATTTTTACTATTTTGTTTTATCTTTTATCACTTTCATTTTTTAATTATTAATATTTTTATCAAAATTTTTCACATATACTTATTTTCCACATACTTATTTTAAAACTTACTTATTTTTATATTTTTTAAAATAATAATCATCACATAAAATTTTAATTTTATAATACACGTCATATTCATTTATTCATAACTAAATATCAGTATAAAAAAAGTATATCTTCGAAAAAATAGAAAAATAATAAAGAAATCCCCTTAATCAAATATATCCAGTTAACCGCGATATGATAACTTTTTATTATATTTTATTACAATATTTTTAAAATTTTTTTATTAAAAGAATTATAGAATATCACACACGTTATAAATCACAATCTTTTCAAAAATATGCTTATATTTATCAAGAATCTGAAATCACGAATTATTAATTTTAATTAATTTTAAATAAATACATTAATACAAATAGAAATTAATTGTTTCATTAATATTTTAATCAATCGCAAATATGTGATTGTCTTAATCTTAATCTTTTAAACTTAATATCTCAAAAATACGTGAAAAGTATATAATTCAAAGATATCCGGATATTACACATCACGTGTTAACGTTTTCGACTAACGTTTTCGATAACGTTATAGCGGCGTCACACACTCTGAAGTCATGTTTCAATTAATCTTCAACACAAATCGAACAGTTGATTTTATAATAGTTTCTATTCTCTTTTTCTTTTGATTCACTAATTAATTTCGTAATTTCAAAGACTCGAAAAGTACAGGAAGAACACACTTCACAGACTGCATTGCGCATTAGGTGATCCGCAGATTCACGCCGACAATCACCACCAGGTGCGCTTCGTTGTGACGTTTACTTCTTTTGAATACTACAAGTCAGACGAGAATGGACATGTCGCGCAGGCGTGCTCGTTTATCCGTTACCGATTAACCACAGCAAAATTTTGCGACGTTATTGACCGCACGCCGACAAGTTAAGCTTGTTGCGCAGTTAACTTTTTAGTGACCAGGATTAGAAAATCCACGTTAAATGCATAAATTTCTCGTAAAACTACGGAAAAGCTTCGAATTTCCATATTACAATTTAATGTCAAAAGTTCTTTAATATTTATTTTTTTCTTCAGAAGATATATAAGCTTGATGATTTAAATTCTATTTTTAGAACAGGAATTATGAAAATTTTTTACAAATTTGTTATTATAGATAATATCATAGATAATATTATAGATAATGTAATAAATAATATTATAGATATTTTATATTTTCTATCATCTCTATCATTCTCTATCATTTATATGCACATAAGTTCATAATTATATAGCAGGTGTTGGAAATATTAGAGATAAAATTTTTTTTTTTTATACTTGATATTTTTATAAAATTAAATGAATAAAAATGATTAAAAATGCAAGTCACATTATGCGCTAATATATCTTGGAAATTGTTCTCATTTTATTATAATCGATATAAAAAAACAATTATAAATATTATCTATAATATGTATCTATTATCGCTAAATAAAATGCATAGTTTGTTACTATTATGATATTTACATATTTCTTAAATTTTCTGTTTTAAAAAAATTGTTAAATTACACAATTAATTTAAAATGCATATATATATATATATATTTGTTTGTTTATTTAAATAATGAAATTTGCTACAAATTTGTATATTCAAACATTTCACAGAAAATGTTTTTTATAATATATAAATCATATAAATAAAAATTATATTAATTAATCTTTAGAAATATAACTTCTAAGCAAGCGCATTGTTTTTATTTGAATAATGAGTATCTTTATATCGATAAGGATAATAATTAGATATTTTATTTCTAGCAAACCATGCAGTCAATCGAACAAAACTAATTTAATCAACTATCGATCTCAAGAAATATATATTTTAGATAAAAAAAACACGTCTTTAATTATTGGATTCAAATTTATACTTCACATCATTGATCTCCAAAGCGGTTAAAGGGTATATATTTCTGGTCTGATGAAGTTTCTGAGTGATTATATATTGATGATAGTCTACGAGATAACCAAGATAGCTTAGAGACAAGATAGCGGAGATACGGGTCAATGAATCGCAATTGATAACATAATAGCAATACA